TGTGCATATAGTATTAATATTATTACTATATTATTTCCGCGGGTTTCGAACTAAATAAGAGCTTCAACAGCATACTCCACTTTCTCCTGTTTTCTGCAGCCCTCGTTAGCTGGCTCCACAATTGCCTGTTGGCTCTCAACTTCTCCATATCACCCTCGGATGATCACCTCGTCGATTCCCATTCGGGTTTCACTCGAGTGATGATAGCCTGGTTAGCCATATCACTCGATGGTATCCTCAGCGTGTGTCCGATCAATCTTCATTTTTTTCGGGATAATTGTTGAGTTACAGGTTCTTCTTTGATTAGTACAAAAAGTTCTCTGTTGCTTGTAAGTCTTCGATTTTTTGTGACATTAAAATTAATTCTTTCGCGAAATCCAGGTCTTCTAGATTCTTCACGTCGGTCCAGTATATCCCTGTCTTCTCGTTTCCCACTGTCTGACGCATAATCCAGTCCACCACAATTAGGAATATCATTGGTGATAATAGGCACCATTGTCTGACTCCTGTGCCTACTCCAAACGCCTCACTGAGTTTTCCGTTGTGGATCACTTGACATGTGCCGTTGTAGTAGAGCTGTTGACTAAGGTTGATGAATATTTGGTGTACGCCGTAGTACTCGAGTAGTTTCCAAATTACTTCACGGTCAACGCTGTCGAAGGCCTTCTCAAAGTCTATGAAGGAAGTTGAGGTAGAGGTTTTATTGCCATTCCATGCTTTGTTCGATGATGATGCGTAGAGTTGCAATTTGGTCAGAACATGATTTGCCTTTCCTGAATCCAGCTTGTTCTGGTCGGAGTTCTGTATCCAGTGCCTCCTTTATTCTCTCCAGGATGATGCGACTCAGGATTTTACTTGGCGTCGACAGGAGCATGATTCCTCGACAGCTCTTGCAGAGTCCTAAGTCTCCCTTCTTTGGTAGTTTCAAGAGGAACCTTTTCCTCCAGTCAGTAGGCACCTTTCCCTCCTTCCAGACCTTTTGCAATAATGGAGTCAGCATATCTGCTGTCGTTTCTGGGTCCGCTTTCAGTGCTTCCGGGGGTATTCCATCTGGTCCAGCTGCTTTTCCAGCTTTCAGAAGCTTGATTGCATTCAAGACTTCAGTTTTCGTTGGAGGATTGGTGTCAACTTGCAGTTGTGTACGTGCTGTTGTTGGTATTTCTGGACGGGTTGCAGGTGGTGGTCGGTTCAAGAGTCCTTTGAAGTGATCCACCCATTGTTTAATCTGTCTTTCTTCCTTGGTAATTGGGTTCCCTTGGCTGTCTTATATAGGTTGCACTTGTGTTGATCTCTTCCCCGATAGAGACTTGGTTATCTGATATAATGTCCTCAGGTCCCTTTTGCCTGCTGCCTTCTCAGCTTCAGTGGCCAGATTGTCGTAGAATTGTCTTTTGTCCTTCCTGGCACTCTTCTTCACTTCTTTGTCCAGTGCTGTGTAAGCTGAACTCAGCATCTCCTTCTCTTGTCCGTCTTTGCATTGAATCATTTTCTCTTTCACCATTCTCCTCTCCTCTATTAGCTTCCAAGTGTCCGTTGAGAGTCATTCCTTGTCTTGTTTCTTCTTTCTTCCTAAAACCGTCGAACACGTTTCGTTGAAAATCACCTTCAGAGAGTTCCAATGGTCTCCCAAGCATGATTCTTCCGTGGTGTCACGTAGTGTTTCCTGCTTTGCTCTGACAGTTGCAGTGAAAGTGTCCTTTGTGGTTGTGTCCTTCAGTTTTTGCGTGTTGAACTTGCATTGTGGCCTATCCCCAGTTATCTTCGAGGCTTTTAGCTTCACCTTGAAAGTCCCTTGTAGTAGATAGTGGTCTGAATCCACATCTGCTCCTCTCCTCGACCTTGTGTCCAGTAGGCTTCGTCTCCACTTCCTTGAGATTGAAATGAAGTCTATCTGGTTTTTGGTGTGTCCATCTGGTGAAATCCATGTCGCCTTGTGTATATCCTTGTGTTTGAACACACTGCCACCAATCACCAAATCATTGAAGGCGCAGAAGTCTGAGAAGAGTTCACCATGTTCGTTCATTTCACCGAGGGCCTGACGACCCATAGTGAGTTCTCTTCCTCTATTGTTTCCTCCCACTTTCTCATTCATATCACCCATCAAGATTCTGATATCGCCATTTGGGACGTTGTCCATTACTGCTTGTAGTTGTCTGTAGAAATCCTCCTTCTTCTCCTGTTCTGAGACGTTTGTAGGCGCATAGCATTGAATGATTGTAACCTTCCTTCCTTCCTTTTCAGTTGAACCTGACTGTCATTATCCTGGAGGAGATTGGTTCCCACTGCATGAGAGCTTTAGCTGCTGTTGGTGACATCATGATGGCCAATCCCTCGGTGTGCTCGTGGTTGTCCTCTGGGTGACCGGAATAGATTACTGTCTACCCACTTGATAGTTGACATCTTCCACATCCGTTCCATCTGCTCTCGCAGATTCCCAACACTTCTTTCTATTCCATATTTTCTCATTTCTGCGGCTACCTGGGCTGCCTTTCCGGCTTCGTACATTGTACGAACATTCCACGTCCCCATCCTTATTTTTGCTTTCATCACATCATGTTAGTTACCAAAAAGATATTTCGTCTGACATTCTATTTAAGGAAGTTAAGACGAACTGGTATCAATCCGTCTCTACTGATACCGTTTGTCAATTCTTGTATCCTGCCTATACTTCTTCACTGTTCCCCCTTAATCTCTCCCGGACGACTACTCAAGAATGGCTTTGTTACACTGAGAAGGGCACTTACTAAACGACGTCAGTAAGGCGAGTGGGATGTAGCTAAATCAAAACTTGTGAATACTCTTGTAGATAGACACATGAACCGATTCTACAAATTAGAGAATATTAACTTGTCGGACCCCGAGCATCCTTTCCATACCCCACACACTCTCTCTCTCTCCTTGCATCTCATCGAGTAGACTGTATGCTCAGACGACTAAGTTGAAATACTCCACAATACCTTATTTAACGCACATTTTATCTGATGGGAAAAGTTTGAGGCAGGAAATCGCCAACCTACTGAGGAAGTCTAGGTAGACGCCCCTGTATTTCGCTTCTTCTCATCATAAAATTGCAGTTAGTATTTTCACTTAATTTAATATTCATATTATTACTTGACAGGATTATCAGTATAAATGGCCTGTTTCAAATATCACCCCTGTGAATGAGCAAATTATAGGCAATACTGTACTACTACTACTACTATATGCTGGAAATTCCATATTTGTACCAGAAGTACTATCTGGAATAAAGCTATAAATCATCACTATTACTCAAACTGTATTTGTGGAATACAACATCCAAAATGCATGATGAGGAGAACGGATGAAAGCCAGACACATAGTTCAGCGGAGAGTCTCTTTCCCTTTAGCTGTACACTCGCATGTACACAAATTTATAAGAATGAAACAACATCCATTGCTGATATGTGGAAATTACACTAATAACAGAAGAAAATGAAGTAGAAACGCAGACAAGAATTCGTGTCGATACTTTGACGTGATTATGCACAATAAGTTGTCCTCAAAATACCCTGTCAACGATACTGTATAACTAAGTGTCACATTAAACAGAAGACATGTCATCGACTAGGTCCAACAGGACTGTCTCCTAAGTGGAGGGAGGTGTGTTTGAACAAGCCAATCTGACTCCAATTGGTGTCAACCACTTCACAGCAACACATGACAATCAGTACACATCAGTGGTTACTCAATGCAATTAGACACTGTGAATGGATACAGGGATTAGAATACACCACGTTAGCTATGGATCGATCAAAGCATGGAATGGCAGTCAAATCTCTCTCTACCTCAACTTCATCGACTTTGAGAAGACCTTCGACAAAGCTAATCCACAAGTAATTTGGAAACTGCTTCAACACTACGGAGTGCAATGGCCCAAATCTTTGTCAACCTCATTCAACAGCTCGCTATATGACAATGTCAAATGTGAAGTGATCCACAACGGAAAACTCAACGAAGCCTTGGAAGTGAAGACAGCAGCCACACAAGGTAGGCTGACCACGACCACTGATGATATTCATAATTATGGTGTACTGGATTATGCATCAGACTGCTAGGAGCGAGAAGTTAGGAGTATGTTGGACTAAAATGAAGACCTTAGAAGATGTGTAATTCATGAGTGATTCATGTCTAATGTCACATAAACTCGAAAATTTATAGGCCGAAAGCAAAGCACTGGTAGAAGAAGCAGAAACGCAATCACGACTTCAACTGAACATAGAGAAAACACGGAGATGCTAAAGTGAACCATTCCACGACAACAACAACAACAACAACCAGCACCAGCAGCAATAGCTATCAACAGGATGATTTTGAAAGACGACACTTCCTCCACTTATCCAGACAGCATCGTTTCAACTACAGGCGACAACACGGATGAGGATGTCCAAACCAGACTGGATTGGAAAGACAAGACAGACAGACATCACTCTGAACTCAGTGTGGCAATCTTCTGCACTCAGCACAAACAATGAAATTCAGATTCTCAACAACAATGTTGTGTCAGTCACTTGTTCTGCTAACTGCGTCAGGAACTTCGCCTGGGTGTCACGAAAAGCATTCACAACAGACTAATGCAGGTCTTCATATTGAAGATCACATGGCGGGTCAGTGAGGGTTAGCAACAGGTCACTGTGGGAACGAACCAACTAAGAATCGATTGCTCAACAAATATGCCGAAGGAAATGAAGATGGATTGGGAAAACGCTGAGGAGATCGTTGGGTGGTATCGCTCACTAGCTCCTCAAGTTCAACCTGAACGGGGAATGACGAGTTCGACGTGGTTTCGAGGCTGACATGGAGAAGATCGTGTGATGAGGAGATGAGAGACTGTAGGCAATCGTGGGGTTAACTGAAGATGTGCTATTGAAACAATATGCTCCACTCGGAACCCAAGGCGACAATAACAATAAAATAATAATAATACACCAGTTATGAACAGGACAATCAGTAAACGAATACAAGCATATTACTAAACCAACCTTCGCACAAATGAATCCTTCAGCTTTGAGGATCTTCGTAATTAGCCCATAAGGAATTCAACTGGGATAATTGATTTTCCAACTGTTCAATGTCATCATCGTTTTCTACATGAACCTTATCACTGTCAACACACTCAACTGTTGGTGAATTATCTGAAGAGGAATATAGATGAAAAATAAAGCGAGATTTCAGTGATTCCAAAACCCAGGGAATTGAGGTGGTACCTTGTATAGCATTGTGAAGGCTGAATTTTTATCAATCTTGTGTTCCGTTTCCACTTGGTGTGCCAATATGCAACTCCTGACTGACTTTAAGACTCCTTAACCTGACCATGGCATGCTGGACGATTCTCAAGAAGGCAACGCTGAGGCTGTCGATTTGTTCTGCCTATGTAACTGCCTATACACGAACAGTTACATTTATAAACGTACAATGAATCGGCGAGACTCGATAGCTTATCCTTTTCGTCTGCGTTGGAACTATACAACGAGTGGTGAATCTTAAACATAGTGTTGCGGTAAAAAGTGTATTAGCTGTTATTTTCGATACTGTGTCTCCTTTGAACAGCAAAACGTCGATGTGTTCAACACATCGTCTATAAAGATTATCTTAAAAATAATCATTTTTATATGAATTAGTGAACTGTAGTTAACAACTGTAAGCAAAAACTGTATTATTGGAAAGCAATACTATATACGCTTCGTTGACTACACTTCATAAAGTTAAAACTACTAAACCATAGGTGGAAAATTCATAAGTATTATTATTATTACCATTATAAAACTGAATTAAACTAATACTTTCTAGTAACAGGAAATAATAATATTATCATAAAATCCAAATTTAGGCTAATCGTAATTCAAAATAGTTACGTTTGTCACTTTAGATTAGAAGAGTGAATAAACAGTGACTGTGAAAGCAATCTAACAAGCAGGCGGGCATTATGAGGCATAAAACAAACCACTACTTTACACTAAGAATACTACGTCATCTCACATCTTGTGATTATACATTAAAAGCTCAGGAGTAATTTAAGCATAATGAACAACAATCAATGCGGAAAAATCTCGGATACAATGCTAAACAGTATGGAATTAAAGCAAAAGTGGGAATGACGACGAGAGGCTGGCTTTACGCATAACACTGAGCTAACGACCACCACCATGTAGGCTAGTTGAATGCCGCCAGGCATTTTCGTTAATTAATGGCTATTAAAACGGAAGGAAGGCAGGTATATCAGTGAAACAATGCTCGCCAAACACACGTGGTCCAGAGTTCGGTCCCCGGCCGACACACTCCTTTACCTCGCGCTTAACCGGCAGTAAGCCCCATAAAGAGGGAAAGATGGGCATGAGGCTAACAACCCCAGCACGTCCGAAAAAACGCCACTGCTAGTGAAACTTCAAAGCTCCACTTTGAAGCCCTATGTTCCACTCAGAACGTAAAGGATTAAAATATAATTTAAAAAATGTGAGTACTAATAGCACAGTTTATTGACGATCAAAAAAGGTAGTGAAAAGTTATAATCTGATAAAAGCTTTTGCACATCGAAACGAAATATAAATGTTAACAACACTATTAATATGTCAGGATTACTACTGACGATGTACTTATAGTTGATCCTCCTGCCTTATCTTAAAGTGTAAGCTAAGCCTCAGATTTTAAAAAAATTCAAATGAACTTCAAACCAAATTACCATGAACTGACCTGTATTGCGCAACGGTGCATTAGAACCAGGCGTTTCTTTTACTGAATTCGTATGACACCTTGTCAAACACTTCAATTTAGACCATATCACGCATAAAGCATACTGTACACGTGTAATAAGATCATCACGAAATACACTATAAGGCAATTCGAGGGAAACATCAATATTGCGAGTGGATTGTTCATGTATACTTTTCCTGATTAAAACCCTTTCGAAATCAGATATGTCATGTTCTTCATGTGATTCACCGAGAGAGTGATGTTCATTGTCACAATTAAATGAAATATTAGCATTATTCGGTGCGCATAGGTCACAATTGTGTTTGAGGTAGTCTGAGAATTGAAATATTCGTGCAGACAGTTGGCTGACAAGATATCGAAGTTCACGATTTTCATGACATAATTCATTCTGACGAATTTGTAACTGTTGAATTAATAACGAAGATTTATTATCCTGTAAACAGATAAAAATCATTAACATAAACAAAGGCAGTAAACCTTGGCGTTCAAACATTTTAAAACAAATTGTCCTTAGTAGGTTCAGTGGAATAACACTGGCCGAAAAAGCAAGTGGTTTGAAGCTCGATCCCCCCTCGACACACTTTTACTTCTCCTAGCCGATAGCAAGCCCGATGAAGACGAAAGGTTAGGCGTGCGGCTAGCAACCTCATCAAGTAAAAAAATACCACTGCTACTAAAATTCCACAGCTAAAGCTAACAGCCCTATGCTTCACTTGGGACGCGAAGCAAGAGAAGAGAGTAAACAAAGACTCAAAATACAGATAATAAACAGAGATATGAGGCAAAATGAATAGTAATATGGAAGAACAATACAGTTTTATTGGATATGACAAATCATCACAAAGAGTGAATGCATCTGTGCCAGCCATATCACCAATTATTTCCGACCTTCATTGGATTTTACCATCTTGAGGAAACCAACCAATAAGGAAGTCTACACCTCCCCACGTGGCTGGCTTAAACTGACTGTTCTGGAGTTCATTCACTGATGAGGCCATGTTTTCGTTTGAGCACCACTCGCTAACTCTTTTCCAACCTGATCCACCTGTGTCATTCAGCTAACATAGCCCATTGTCGAGGAATGCGATCGACGGCTAGTGATGCATAGGTAACACACGTGCTAACCATCTCAATCGGTGTAACTTAACAACATCGTCTATTAATTTTTCCTCCTTATCTAGCACTAAACCGATGCTAACCCTATTATACCACTTCGCACGGGAGATAGAACACAGGCACCTATGATCAAAGACAGTTAGTCAGGCTTTTCATGTCTTCTGCTCTCAATGGCCATGTCTTACTTACAGCCATAAAGAAGGACAGAGCGAACGGCTCAGCAGTACAATCGACCTTTGGTCGACAACCAGCTACATATCACGTCTACTAAGCGAGATGTCGTGAGTTGGCATATGACAAACGAGTCTTCTGTATCCGTGTTGAGATTTCGCCAGTGATCAACCCGTTCACAATGGCTGATGCAACTCTCCAAATAAGTGAAGTGGTCAGCACGCTCCACCACCAACCACTTCACTCATGCTTATCTTTTAAGCTAGGAGTAGTCGATGTAGTCTAGTGCAGTCTTGTAGCGTCATCTTACATTCGACGGGAGAGAATCGCATTGCTGCTGTTCGAGGTGCTCAGAAGACTGCTCTGTTTTGTCAGCGTCTTCACCTAGGAGGGAGGACTATATCATCTTGATATTCTAAGTCAACGAGACTATTATTCCCTGATAACAAGTCAATCCCTGAATCGCTGAAGTCAGTCAGGGTAAACTCCAGTAGTACACCTGTGATGAAATTAAAGAGAAATGGGGACAGTGGGCGTCCCTGACGGACACCACTAGTTGTCACAACTTCAGATGACAACTCTCCGTAAGGTGTCATCTCGTTGGTTGCATAACTTCCAGTAGAGTGCTCTGATCAGTGCTATGCATTTTCTCAGTATTCCCTTCACAGCCAAGTATCGCCATAGTACGTCTCGATCGACAGAATCGAATGCCACTTTCAGGCCGAGGAATATAACGATTGCTGGACGCCAATGGTAAGTATGCCTATGTTCCAGAATCAGACGAAGGGTGACGATATGATCAATACACCCTCTTCCTAGTCTAAGGAGTGCCTGGTTCTCTCATGTTGGTCCCTCCCGAGCAACACTTAGTCTACGCATGATTATTGAGCCTAGAACATTAGATAATAAAAGACAATAAGGTTAACTGACAGTATACTCTATCTATAAATACGGCGACTGTAGTCACAAATACACACACTAATCTAGTCATTTCATCAAAAAACTAAACACCCAATAACAATGGTAAAGCTTCTGACAACTGGTCAGAACCATACAGATTGGGAGTTCATGGATTACAAAGAGAAAACATTATGATTACGACCACAGTTTAGTTTTGTAAATTAGCAATTGATGATTTTAATTGATACAATCTAGAGTAGGTCAGAAATTAAAACTAATTTTTCACTAACCAGTCTCTGTTAACTGTAGTATTCTCCTGTCATTAATAGAATCTCCCCAGCTTTTCAATAAGCTGGAGCGAGAGGCGTACTAAGCCAATGTTTTGCACCGGTAAATATTATATGCCTCGATGAGCATAAAAAATTAGAAAAGGATACTTAATAACGATTCATATGTATCACAAATAACAACAAGACACCAACTGCTGACAACATTTACCGTACATTATAGAAAGCAAACAGAATTATGAATTTTCACATTGTAGGTATTTACGCACAAGAGACCGTTTCCTTGAGAGATGACGGAGAAACCCTCCAGGATATTTAAGCAAAGCGAAAATAACAAAAAGGATGAGATACTACTTGAGCGCAGTTTTTTAGGCCTGTGTTCATTTTATTTGAGAAGAACTAAGAAGTTCAGCAAGCTTATCTTTTCACCGATTTCATTTAGCACAATCACAAGTATTGCTTAATTGGGAGACAGTGATATAAGTGAAATTATTGGTGAATAATTTCAAATCTTCGCACCAAACAAAAGATTACACTCATGACCATTATATTACTTATTATCATTCCCTTGCGTTGTGAGTGGAACATAGAGCTTCAACAACAGATCTCCACTCTGTTCTGTTTTCTGCCGTCCTCTTCAGCTGGGACCACGATTGACCAAACTTTCTCATCTCTTCCTCACAAGATCTCCTCCATGTCACCCTCGCATTGACGACCCACTCGTCGCTTCCTATTTGGATTCCACTCGAGTGCTTGGCGTGCGATGTCATTCGGCGGCCTCCTCAATATATACCCAATCCAACTCCACTTTCTCCTAAATTTTTGTTGAGCAATCAGCTTTTGTTTGGTTTGTTTCCAGCCAGAATTTCTTCTTGCTTATTCATTCTGGCCATTTGATCTTCAGTATGAAGCCAGAGAACGCAGCTGTTGGTGAAGGCCTGCAACCTGTTGGAAATCCTTTTCGTGACGTGTCACGCTAGCCAAGTTTCTGACCCGTACACAAGCACTGACTGACTTCACATTGGTGCTGAAAATGCGAATCTTGTTCCTTACGCTGAGTGCGGAAGATTTACAAACTGCTTTCAGGTTGATGAAGGTGTGCGTATCTTGCCTATCCGATTCTGACATTGACATCTTCGTCCGTTCCGGCTGTCTGTAGTTGAAACGATGCTTCCTGGCCAGAAAAGTGAAGGAGGCAACCTCTGTAAATCTCTCCCGTTGATGGTGATTGGTGCTGGTTGTTGTTGTTGTTGCTGTTGGTTGGTTGGTTATCTTCATCACCTCCGTCTTCTCTGAGTTCACCTGAAGTCTTGTCTTCGCCAGCTGCCTCTTCAACCAGTTTGTTGGTTTTCGCTTGCAAGTCTTCGAATTTGTTTGACATTAGGCATATATCGTCTGCGAAATCTAGATCTTCTAGAGTGGTTTCCAAATTACTTCTCGGTCTACACTGTCCAAGGCTTTTCCAAAGTCGATGAAGTTGAGGTAGAGACGTTTGACTGGTATTCTATGCTTTGTTCTGTGATGACGATTCGTAGAGTTGCAATTTGATCAGCGCATGATTTGCCTTTCCTGAATCCAACTTTTTCTGGCCGGTGGGGCGGAGTTCTGCATCCAGTGCATTCTGTATTCCTTCCAGGATGATGAGAATTAGTATTTTACTTGGCGTGGACAAGAGCATAACTTCACGCCAGTTCTTGCAGAGTGAGGCCTAAGTCGCCCTTCTTCCAATCAGTAGGCACCTTTCCTTCTTTCCAAACCTTTTGCGGTAATGGAGTGAGAACATCTGCCGTAATCTCTGGGGCTGTTTTCAGTGCTTCGGGACGGGGGTGGAATTCCGCCTGGTCCTGCTACCTTCCGGGACTTAAGTAGCGTGATCGCATTCAGGATTTCTTCTTTCGTTGGAGGAGTGGTGTTCACTGGCATTTCCATGTGTGCTGTTGGTGGTGTCCGATCAAAGTATTCGATACAGTCAGTCCTACAGGAGGTCAATCGAGAGCCCGAACAGGTCAGCGGTGACCTCTCTGACTGCAACACTGGGTAACACGGGTTTGAACTTCAAAGCGGGGCATGAGCACTTTCAAGATTAAAAACACATCTTGCTGACTGTTAAGTGCCAACAAGCACGAGACTTTCTGCCGACTGCCTACAACAAAATGATAACAACAATTCAGAGTGCACTGTGTTATTGAGCTAGCTAGTGGCACGATGACCACACTGCAAACTTGACTGATACAATTCAGTCTGTACCAACCGAAAGACTACACGCATGATATACTAGTTACTAACTAGTAGTGTCTAAATCAGAGAAGATAATTTTCAACGAACATGAAAGGAAGATTGACAAGTGTTATCAGAGATGATGAATGTTAGTCACAAAGAACATAGAAGCTTTAAAAAATGGTTGAGTAGTATATAAAATAATTTCTCCTGGGCAAAAATACCCCGGTTTGATTAAGATAGGCATAGAAATGGATTGAAATGACAATTTTGCTACGCATAATGAAACAAAATAAAAAAAGAGGAAAAACTGAGTTCCTTTCACGTCGTATGCATGGCGTAGTAAGGAGAATCTTGATCAGCCATTTCACACTATCTTATTCTCCCTTAGTAAATTTGTACTCTTGACATTAACATTAATTCTGTGACTCTGTTCATCTTCACTGCTAGTGAATTGAACTCACAATGATTTTTTTCTTACTTTACTATTTGTTGATTATCAAGCGCAGATTGCACGGATTTGATTGGCTACATGTTTAATTGCGAGGTCACATCAGTTAGACAGCTGTTGGAAAATCAGAGAGTACTGAACAGTTATTCCATCCTAGTCTGGGACTCTTTCTCGGTAAGTACCGAGCGGGATCACAACCCTTAAGACCTTTCTGCTACAAGGATTTAAAACCCCGTGGGTGAGTACTGCCAAAGAATCCCACATTAGGTCACGAGGAGATAGGATTCATGATCTAGTTATGATGAGTATACACCTGACTATTGCCTACGGAGAGTAGTCATCTGAAGTGGTGACAACTAGTAGTGTCCGTCAGCGACGCCCACTGTCCTCAATTCTCTTTAATTTCATCATAGATGTACTAATCGAGTAAACCCTAACCGACTTCAGCGATTGACTTGTTACCAGGAAATACTAGTCTCGTTGACTTAGAATATCAAGATGATATAGTCCTCCCTCCTAGGTGAAAACGCTGACAAAGTCCCGAGTCTTCCTAACATATATAGAGCACCAGCAATCTTCGAATGGCTACCATGCGATTCTCTTCCGTCAAATGTAAGATGACGCTACAAGACTGGACTAGACTACATCGACTACTCCTAGCTTAAAGATAAGCATGAGTGAAGTGGTTGGTGGTGGAGAGTGTTGACCACTTCACTTATTTGGGGAGTTGCATCAGTCGGTGTCAACGGGTTGATCACTGACGAAATCTCAACACGGATACAGAGGGCTAGTTTCACATATGCCAGTTTACGCCGTCACTGGCGTAGACGTGATATCCAACTGGCTGTCGACCAAAGGTCGACTGTACTGCTCGGCCGTTCGCTCTATCCTCCTATATGGCTGTGAGCGAAAAATGGCCATTGGAAGTGAAAGATACGAAAAGCCTTACTAGCTGTCTTTGATCATAGGTGTCTGCGTTCTACCTCACGTGTTCAGTGGTAGATGTAATAAGGTGATCAATATTGAGTTTAGGCTTCGGTTGTGTGCTAGATAAGGAGAGGAAATCAATCGACGAGGTTGGGAAGTTACACCGATTGAGATGGTTAGCACATGTGTTACGCATGCATACCTAGCCATTTATCGCCTTCCTCGACAATGGGCAATGTTAGCTGAATGACATAGGATGGATCAAGTTGGAAAAGAGTTAGCTAGTGGTGCTCAAACGAAAACATGGCCTCATCAGTGAATGAACTCCACAACAGTCAGTTTAAGCCAGCTAGCCAGCCAGCCATGTAGGGAGGAGTAGACTTCCTGACTGATTGGGGGTCTCACGATGGTTAAATCCAATGAAGGCTGGAGACAATTGGTGATATGGCTGGCTCGAAATTGTTCTCAATGGCTGGCACAGATGCATTCACTCTTTTTGGTGATTTGTCATATCCAATAAAACTGTATAGTTCCTCCACATTACTATTATTCATCCGTCACACTTCTGTTTATTGTCTCTCTTTTGAATCTTTATTAGCTCTCTTCTCTTGCTTTGTGTGTTACATGGCGGGAGTGTGGCAACTCGAAATAATGCACGTCAGTGCAAAGTTCTATGTTGAAACCAGTCGTCAGTCAGTCAGTCAGGCAGTAAACACCATCACGGATAAAAAGGAGCCTTGGCAAGCGGTAATAAATTCGAATTAGGTATAATAATTGGTAATGAATTTTCATGTCAATCTCAGCAATACATTTTACTAAGGCTATTTACGAAGTAAAATTTACATCCCAGCAGCTACAGTGACCAGCTAGTGTAACCAACTTATCTATATATATATATAGAATGAAATATCACAGAAATCTAAAATTACGACCACGGAACCTGTAGTAATGCATTAGCTTCTTACTTGATTGATTCATGCCATTATTAACTTACTCGATTAGTTTGAATATTTACAGCATTTCTCCAAGGCCGACGACTTCCACTACTGCTCAACTGTTTGGTCAACGATGCTTTTGTTGTAACTACACCAGGAGAACAGGAACATGGTGATGTACTACTCCTGTCGTGAATACTTAATTGGTTGATGTTAGATAGACAACCACTGGCTACTACTTTATCACCTTCAACAGGTGAACGTATCTGAAATGTAGATAAGTCTGTTGAAATAGTTGGTGAATGATATATTTCTCCTCTTTTATTATATTCAGATGAAGCTTTCCTCTGACAGATTCTTAAGTGTTTGCGTAGGCTTTCAATCTCTATCTGTAACTTCCGCCGTTGATGCTCCCATTTATTTTCATTTTCTAGGTAACTTAAACGAGCTCTATGAAGCTGTTAAAACAAAGAAATATAATGCACACTTTAGAGAAGATGAATACATTTACAAATGACATAGCTGAATAATTGTGAGTATAGAATAGTAGCAATGAAGAGCAGCCTTTCAACAAATAAACTATCTAACGAAAAAAAATAATCATATCAAATGATAAAACTATTATGCAACTCGAAGCATATATACATATATATATTCAGCATTGTGTGGAAACACGAAATAAACAAATTCATTTGAGTACTCAGAAATGAAAAAGAAATTATCAATAAATGCTCAGTCTACTCATATTATTTGGAGTTCCAAGTTTACTGTTATTATTATTATTACTCTGGGTTCCGAATGGAATATAGGATTTCAACAGCACGTCTGCATTTTCCCCTGTTCTCTTCATTCCTCATCAGCGAATCCTACGACTGCATATAGGCTCTTATCTCCTACAAGTCACCTTCGAAACCACGCCCAACTCGTCGTTTCCCATTCGGATTCCACTTGAGGGCTTGACATGCGATATCACACAACGGTCTCCTCACCGATCCATCTTCATTTTTCCCAGGATATTTGTTGAGCAATAGGTATTTAGTTGGTTCGTTCCCGGAGTTTATTGTTGCTAACACTATCTAACCGATTATCTGATTGATATATTGAGTATTGAGCCAACGAGGGCAGATGTAGATAAAAATTTCCAAATAGCTGTTGGGAATGCTTTTCGTGACACACATGCCAAGTTCCTCACCCAGTATTTAGAAGAGGTGACTGACTCAACACTGGTGTTCAAAATCCGAATTCTATTGTTTACACTAAGTACAGATGATTCCCACATTGAGTTCAGAGTGATGAAGGTGTGTCTTGCTTTTCTAAATCTGTCTGGTTTTGACATTCTCATCCGTGCCGTGTGCCTGAAGTTGAAACGATGCCACATAGATAAGTGAAGGAAGTAACCCGTTTCAAATGTATTCTGTTGGTAGTGAATGGTGCTTGTTGTTGTTGGTGGTGGTTGGTTACCTTTATCACCTTCGTCTTCTCTAGGTTCACTTGAATTCTTGTCTGCTTTGCTGCTTCTTCTGCCAACTTGTTAGTTTTGGAATTTGCGTAACATTAGACATGGTTCATCTGCAAAGTTCAGATCTTCTGAACTCTCTTCTTATCAATCCAATGTATTCGTGTCTTCTCGTTCCCACGCACAGTCTTCCGCGTAATCCAGTTCACCACAATTAGGAAAATCATCCGTGATAGTAGAAAGCCTTGTCTTACTCCTGTATTCACTTCAAATGTTTCGCTCACTTTCTCGTTGTGGAGTTCCAAAGTAATGTTGCAAAATCTAACAACTATTCTTAAACCACGTATCACGCCTATACAGTCAGAATATTGATGCAACGTCTGGCCAGAATCCGTCGAGACCCACTAATGACGTATCCTACATCATAGAGACCTATATTCAAGTTTGCGATGAAGTGCTTTGAATATTTCCTCTATCTGCAGGAATGAAAAGCAAGTTTCATGTGCTAGTGTTGCATTAAGCTCTAGAGCCGAGGCCATATCACTCAAATGGATCTCAATTGACAGTCGTTTACATGTTGTGAGGATAGGTTATAACAGAGAAAGAAGCCTTTAATAGAAGAATCTTTGCATTTCTGCCACTTCTGAGCCTATGTACAGAAGGATTCCAGTCCGGATGCTATTAAGCATGTGTTGTACCATGAGTGAACATCTCAAGCAAGCGTGTTATATAGATATCATACAGATAGTTGGCATCTTGAATGCAAGTTTCAGGAGTCCAGACTCAGAGGACAGGAATTTCGATGGTTAACGGGGCCTACGTGGTCGTAGGTTGGCATTCGTTAGCAAGGCGTGTCTGCAACCTTGAAGGAACTCTTGTCCCTTCTGAGATTCGAACCCGCGTCACCCAGTGCTGCAGTCAGAGGCGTTACCACTGAGCTATTCGGGCTGGCGATTGATCTCCTGTAGGACTGTAGCGGGTATTTTGTTTGGACATTAGTAACAAGTGCGTGTCGAGTCCTTTCTTTGGTGCAGACTGAATTCTATGAGTAAGGTCTGCCATGTGGCCACCATTCTAGGTAGCTCGCCGTCACTAGTGTCCAATGAAAACAACAAAGTGTGTCTCAGAAATACAACATACATCCAAAACTCAACATGCCATGGGTTCTGGTTAGCACAAACTTGTTGTACGACTCGAAATAAAGTTCAGAAGTTGGAAGTTCCCGTATGAAGTTGGCAGTGAACCCTCTCAAAGCAACTAGGAACAGTGTTGCTTCCATTAAAGTCGCTGGCAATTGTCATAGAGTTAAAAGGTGAAAACGTCCTCTGAAGAGTAGTGTATTAACAACAAACGGATGGTGAGTTCGAAGAGGCGACAGAACTTTGTACACTTTTCAAATGCGAAGGAGGTTGGCTACTTGACTACACAGCTTGTCAATTTTTGTAGGTGCCTACAGATAAAATCCAGGCTCATAATGTAAAACAAAAAAAAACAAAAGAACGCTAGATAAAAACAAAGAAAGTGACTTTTTAATATACGAAATTTGAAGTTTAATACTCTTAGCTGTCAAAGTACGGGGCATGAATTTTTTATTTAAACTCACTGTATCAGATATCGTTTTTAGACGATCATTAAGTAACTCCTTATCACTTAACATTTGTTCTTCTTTCAATTTTGCTAATTCATTCAATTTTACAGACGCATCCAGTTCTTGTTGGCATCTGTGAAAAAGTCTCTGTACACGCATGAATTCCGACTGCACATATTGAAAGCTAGTGAAGAATGAATGAAAAAATCGAAGGTGTTTGTTCATTGAAAAAAAGCGATTTCCTAAAGAAGAAATGTTTTGCTGAAACAAATGTAACAAACGACAAAGTAATGAATGCATAAATGAGACGGTCATTAGATCTTTGTTCTAGATTACTGTTATAATGATTCCCCACCCAATGCATCCTTCAAACCTCCCAGGATGATACGGTTTAATATTTTGCTGGAGGTAAACAGGAGTATGATGTCCTATCTCAGCTGTTGAATATGTTCAAGTCGCAGGTTCCTTCCCTTCCTTCCAAACTTAATGTAAGAGTGGCATCACCGTATTCTCTGAGATCTCTATGCACGTTCTCAATGCTTATCAGGTTATTCTCTCTACACCTACACTACTCTCCCAGCCTTTAGTAATCTTATGGTCTTCAAGAGTTCTTTACAGTGATCAACCAGAGTTTTCTCTGTTTTACATCATTCATATGTGGATTACCTTTATTCTCGTCTACTGGCTACATTTGCGCTTATATCTTCCTGGATAGTTATCTGATAATCTGACGTGGTTAGATATATAATATAAGCATTTAAAATTGAGTTTAATGTGAATTGCAAAAAATATGCGCGTATTTACTGCTCAGCACTCCGCTCTGTCCTCCTTTATGGCTGTGAGCGAAACATGGTCATTGAAAGTGGAAGACATGAAAAGCCTGACTAGCTGTCTTTGATCATAGGTGTCTGCGTTCTATCTCACGTGTGAAGTGGTATAATAGGGTGAGCGATATTGAGGTAGGACTTCGGTCGAGTGCTAGGTAAGGAGGGGAAATCAATCGACGAGTCTGTGAAGCTACATCGACTGAGATGGTTAGGACATGTGTTACGTATGCATGCCTAGTCATCACCTTCCTCGATACGCGATGTTGGCTGACATAGGGTCAGGCTGGAAAAGAGCTAGCGGCGGTCAAACAAAAACAGTCAACGAAATCCACAACAGTAAGTTTAAGCCACGTGGGAAGGTGTAGACTTCCTGGCTGGTTGGGGTCCTCGGGACGGTAAAAGCCAATGAAGGCTAGAGACAATTAGTGATATGGCTGGCTAAAAATCGTTCTCAATGGCTGGCGCAGATGTATCCACTCCTTATGACTTATAATACCCAATAAAACTATATTGTTCTTTGATATAACTACTCTTTTTGCCTTATATTCCTGTCTACTGTCTCTATTTTGCATTTCTTCTACTGTCTTCTCTTGTTTTGTGTGCCACATAGAGTGTGGCGATTTGAACTGCAGTACATCGGTGCAAAGTTCCATGTTGAAACCAGTAAGTCAGTCAGTCATGCGCATAAGAATTGTAACCCGATCCAGATAAACAATATCATGTGGTTATTTGATATAATGTTGTAAGCTCTGCAGCCTGTTCTGCTTCAGATCCCAGTGTCTCGTAAATGCGTCTTTTGTGTTTCCTATAATTATGCTTCACTCGTTTGTTCATTGCAGTGCATTGTAGTTTATGCCAAACTTGTACTTTAATTCAGCATTGCGTCCGTCCATTAATCTTTTGCTTCGCCAACCTTCTTTCTTTAATCAGCTCCCAGGTGTGTATAGAGAGTTGCACCTTGTTTTGCATTTTCTTACTGCCCAGGTATTTCTACACTGCACGTGACCTATGTATCTGATCCCATAATCATTGCAGGGTATTGAACAAAACAAATTATTCTATTGAATCGGCTTCACGGAATCCTTCACAACTGGCATAATTTCTTCCTAAACGAGTTGGTATATTTGCATGCCAGTCACTCTTATTCCTATCTTGTTAAGAATCTTACGCAAGGATTCAGAGATGGTTCCGTTTATGTCGCAGCACTACCGATGTTTTAAATTGCTTTTTCTTGGTGTTGTTATCCTTCTGTGTATGTTTGTCATTCACGTACTCCCCATTATTATTATTATTCTATTTTTATAATTTCCTGACTAACTCAGTAGGGTAATTGCTAAGCGCTTAAGTTCTTGTCATACGCCCCACTTTCTAACGCCGACATTCTATGGTACAATTAATCTGATTATGAAGAATAAACTATACTCCAGACGTCACCAAGTAAATAAGGCTGTTCCACTGTGTATGGTATATTCAGTTAACAAATTAATATGGAATTAAACACGATCACGGTGTTTGAGGAGAGCCTTCAGAATGACCTTCATCGCACTTAGGTCATGTTGATCGTTTCCTAGTTGAATGATACTTAGTCTTTGAAATAAAGAGAAACCGTCTAGTTCCACTTCGTTCATGTATGATATTTAAGTAGAGGCAGTTACACTGAGAGTACGATTAGGCGAGTCAGTCGTTGAATTTTCAAACACTACGCCTTACGGTTATCCAAAAGTCTGACTAAAGAGATTTTTCTGATGTATACTAACTACCTTACCTTGTTTTGATTTGGAATGTCATATAGAAATTCACACAGCGTTTAAGGCTGCTGACGACATTTCACCTAACTTTGCCCTTGCTCTACAAGAAGACAGGAATACGTTGGACAGATAAGACGATTATAGAAGATCTGGATTTCGTGGACGATTTATATATACGTTCACATAAACTCGTAGACCTACAGGCGAAAACCAACAAACTAGCAGGAGAAGAAGAAGAAGAAGAGGAAATAAAGATGGGACTTCAAGTGAACATAGAGAAGATCGGGGTGATGAAGATGACCAACCACCACTACCAGCAACATCAACAGCAAGCACCAATCACTACCAACAGAATAAGATTGAAAAACGTCACTACCTTCACTTATCTAGGAAGCATCGTTTCAACTGCAGGCACACGGCACGGATGACAATGTCAAAACCAGCCAGATTTAGAAAAACAAGACAGACCCTCATCACTCTCTGAAATCAGTTGGGGAGTCTTCTGGACTCAGCATAAGGAAAAAGATTCTGCTTTCCAACACCAATGTTAAGTCAGTCAGTTCATCTATATGGGTCAGAGACGTGGTTTGTGCGTCAGGAAAAGCATTCCGATGAGGCTAATGTAGACTTCTATCAACAGTTACCTTCCCTACACAGTGAAAATCAAATGGCCGGGAAGAATTAGCAACAAAAAACTCTGGGAATAAACCAATCAAAAACTTTCGCTCAATATAAATCCCGAAGAAAATGGAGATGGATCGGAGGCAAGCTGATGAGACTGTCGAATGAAGTCGCTCGCCAGGCCATCACTTGAGTGGAACACGAATGGGAAACGACAAGTTTGGCGTGGTTTCGAAGGTGACATGGAGGAGATCGTGAGAGGAAGAGAGATGACAGAATATGGGAAAAACGTGGGACCAACTAAAGCAGACCACAGAGAATAGGAGGAGATGGAAGCGTCCTGCTGAAACTTTAATTTCCTATCAGAACCCAAGGGAACAATAATATTAATAATAACATGAGTCCAACTTTTATATACAGCAGTGGCAGTTGGGATTCATCTGAGAAAGCTAAATATATATGTGTCCAAGTGAAATCCGTACACCACTTTTGTTTGCTGTCGTCATGTACATAATGTCACAAATGACGTTTGTCTCCATCCTACTGACTATTTATTGGCACTACTATTATGTATTTATAATGTTATTCTTTCGGCTAATTCATTTCTTCTTCTTCGTATGTAATTATTCATAAATTCACCACGCATAAATTCTCCTTGATTATTATTATTTAACAAACTATCAATTACATAATACCCCATCATTAACTTCTATAAATTAACTTTCTATAAGTTAATTTTATCTCTTAACTGTGACCTTGATTTCCGCAACTGTTATACCTTGAATAAATGATTTTATTGACCAAAACATTCATTGACAAATATAACTTCAGTGAATTATCTTTAAAAGCTATATATTAGTGTTGGTTGGTGAAGAACTGATCGATAAGGGACACATTTCTATATTCAAGAGACGATTTGCAAGAATTTGATTGGTTACAGGTTCCACCACGAGGTAACATTAGTTAGAGAACCATTGGAAAACCACTGGGGAGTACTGGACAGCTGTTCACAGCGTCCCAGTTTGGGACTCTTCGTCAGTACGTACCCACCGGGGTTCAAAGTCAGGACCTTTTCGCTACAAGGCAACCTCGTAAACCATTAAGCCACTGGGACCAAATGCTATGGTCCATGAATTTCAACTTCTGCGAATTCGTGAAATATATTTAGCGCAACCGCCAAGCAGTGTCACAAGCAAGTGACTATTCTCTCGCATGAATTGGTGGACCCCATTGTTGACGACTTTTCACTAAAACTCTAGGTAACTTCCTGTATAGAGCCAGCTGATAATGAGTATCAGATTAATTTGATTTGCATAGAATTGATTGGTTGATTGTTTGATAATGAACTGGCAGAAGTTGGAATTCACGGATAATTGGGTCGGATCCCAGTGGATGATTCGCCTACGAGCTTGCCTGGTAACCGGTAAGTAATGGGTTTGAACCCCGATGGGTGCATACTGCTGAAGTCTCCCAAACTAAAACGAAACAGTTGTCCAGTGCTCCGTGGTACTCATTAATTCAATTTATCAATTTTTAAATGTCTGAATGAGAAATCTCCACTTCCCATAGGAAATTTAATTAAACTCTTTTCTATACGTTTGTGTGTTATGGTTAGGAGTTGTAACTCGTGTATAATGACTGGTGGGATAAGACGAACACCCAAAAACAGGGAGATTATGTAAATATTTTACTATAGGACAACAATTAGTTGGTTCACTTGAAGAATTCTAATTATTTCCTTGAATAAAGTGAATATTATTATTATAACTATTGTAAGGATATCATTCTGCAACAAATTTCCTGAAAATAAAATGCCTTAACTACTGCTATGTCAGCAATAAGAAAATATAGTAAAGACAACCAAAGCCTACCTTGACTCAATCTTCTTACAATTATCAAGGTTGGCACTATGAGAATAAATGAGTCTTGAAACCCCATTGACAAAGTTGCTCATGATAACTTCCAATTGCCCGGCCTCTGATTTTAAAATTTTCTTATAACCCCTAGCTTCGAATTCCTATAAAACACAAAATTACTTAACGACAGTTCACACAATGAAATATATATATATATATATATATATATGTATATAAGTATACACAGAAACTCATTGTACACAAATAGAAATGTGACACACATAAAAGAAAATTTTAGCTGAAACAAATATACTGTGAATATAAATAGGATTAGTAGGATCGAATTTGGGTTAATGCACTCAGATTTTAGTAACATATGAACAGGTATAGTAAATAACTCAACACATGAGTTTTTGGAAAATCTGGGAGTACTGGACAGCTGTTTCGTCTTGGTTTCGGCTCTTCACCAGTATGCACCCACCACCGGGGTTCGAACCCAAGACCTTCCGGTTGCGAGGCGACCTTTTAGACAATTAGGCCACTGGGACCCAACCCAATGGTTCATGAATTCCAACTTCTAACAATTCGTGATATACATTTGACGTGACCGGTGTCACAGGGTGAAGAGTCCCGGACTAGGACGAAACAGTTGTCCACCACTCCCCAGGCTTTTCAACGGTTCTCTAATTGACGTCAGCTCGTCATCAATCCTGTAACCACCCATATCCCTGCAAACGAAAACTTGATAACTAATATGATGGTCATTAGCGACTGGCTCTACATAAGAAGTTGTAACCAATGGGATCCGCTGATTCAGGCAAGAGGATAGTTGCTCGCCCGTGACACTGGTTGGCGCTTGCACTAAACATATATAACGAATTGTTAGAAGTTGGAATTCATGGGCCATTGGATCGGGTCTCATTGGCTTAATGGTCTACGAGGTCGTCTTGTAACCGGAAGTTCCTGGGTTAAATCTCACGTTCGTACGTACTGCTGAAGAGCCAGCTGTGTCATACCCTCTGGTTTTCTAATGACTCTCTAACTAATGCTAGCTCGTGGCCAAACTTACAGCCAATCAAATCCCTGGAAACCAACACATGAATTTTTAACAATGCCAACTAAATATATATATTATGTATTTTTCACAGTATGGAAATAATTTTGAATTGATTTTTTTTGTTGAGAAGTTGTTAAATTTAACATTGAGACTATTTTTCATAATACAAGCATAACACATTATAAGTCAGTCACTGATTGGTGTTTCAAATTTATTATGGGCATTTTTGAACAATTCAAATAAATATTAGTGAAACTTTTATCTATTTTTGCGGTTTCATGCTTGCAAGATTGCAGCAAAGCAGAGTCAAAGTAAAGCCGAATTCGGTTCACTCATTTCAATTATTGATGTATTCTTTTTTATTCCTTTACGTTCCCAGTGAAACATATGGCTTAAAGCTAAAGCCTTGAAATTTCAGTAGCAGTGGTTTTTGTTTACAGGATGGGGTCGCTAACTGCACACTTAATCTCCCCTCTTTACCGACCTTACTACCGGCTTAGTGAGATTCAGGGGTTGTGCCGGTCGGGGATTGAACCCTGAACCATGTGTATAGTGTAGTTGGGGAAAATTCTGTCTCTGAACCACCGGTCCATCCATTGGGTATTTCCAATATATGTGACCTTTAGGTGATTGCTTACAACAGACCACAATAACATTCAAGATATTAACAGCTGTAGTTTAGCTTAATAAAATATCATAACTTGAAATTAGTCCACTGACAGACAGTGCAATGGTGCGTACACATCTAGGTGTAATATAAAAATATTCCCCTGTTTAATGTATAAATAATTCTTAAAACGGTTGACTGTATATGACACATCGCCAAGCTACTCAAACACAGAGTTATTGGAGAACTAAACAAGAGACAGATTCACTGTAATCTATTTAAATAGTCTAGCAACATGTCTAGTCAAGTCAACCGGTTGAAAGGGGAAGATATATAATGTGCAAGACAGTTAGCAAAGCAGTTTAACTATTGCGACAAGTCAATCAGCAAAATAATGCCATGCATTCTCTGGAGGACAATATTACAATTCATCAATTCTTATTCCCCACTTGACAATTACAAAGCTGTACATACCAGTCACGAACTACAAGTGACTACAAGTAAAGAGATTCAAGTGAATACACCAAATATACAAGTGGAAATGTTAAACACTGGTCATTCCTAACTCCGAATACCAGTGAATGAAACAAGTTCTGATGACAATTTCACATAACATGCACATTAAAAAACGTAACTACGAAAGCCTACACCATTCGGCTGTTAGATATATCGAAGAACATCTAGAAAGTCACTTGTTTTAATCAATTAACGGTGGTCATGAAACTAAAAAGTCTATTTAAAGAATCTTCAATCCGATAAGGATTTTAGATCACTACAAACAGCTTTTGCATAGAGAACAAAAGAGATTGTATCATGCCTTTACAATTAACCAAAGGACTTGGCAATATTACCTGTAAACAAGTTCGAATAAGTTTTCGAAACAATACGCGGTTTAAAGAATAATTTGTACATGACAGTGCATATCAGTAATAACTCATTTATACTGACCATCGTTGCAGTAATACAAGTGACTTATAAGAGTATTCGATATTACATATCTACAGCGATTATCGAGTCATACGGAGAATCAATTGTAGGTGTATTCCTGTAGTGAGAAAAGACGCATATATCAGTAAATCTTGAGAATTAGTACTTGGAATTGCTGTAAAGCGAGTGATTCACAAGATGAACAATTAATTACAAGTACTTAGGAGACCTCAGCTACACACTCTGGTGTACTTTTATGTCAACTTAGAGGTCTGCAAAAGTAATTTCATTGCCATTTCAGATTAAGATAAAACCTTAAGAAGCGAATCTAGGGCTACTGCTACGCAAATACATTTAAATTATAGCAAAGGAGATATATTAAAGAGAACCTAGTGGACTGAGATTTGTTTAGTTTCACTAATCAGAATTATAAACTTGTGGCTTTAAGAAAATTAATGACCTGTGTGACCCGAGTGTATGTCAGCCAGAGGTTCTAATCCTGAGCTTATAGGGTCATGTGCAATTCTGTGTGACAGAACAATGTGCACAGATTGCTTACCAACTGATAATCGATATGGCTGTTGGTCTATGACCACAAATTAATTACTTCCTTATACTTCTTAGAAGAGTACTGCAGAAACTATTCACCTTCGTCAAGATGATACTAAGGCTACACAAATTATTACCAGCACTAAGACATAATTTTTTGAAGGCAACAACAATCTTCCAATTCATACACGGCCGCTTCATCGAAATTGTATGTATACCTCACAAACAAGCTGCACTTCTATGTAGGTGACATCTATTGTGTGGGATAGTAGTACTACCAGGTTGAACAATCATGGCCGATTGACTGAGTGATTAAAGTCAAGGGCCTGAAGTAATGCGTCTTACCCCCCGCTTATTACAATGATCCTGTTTCCGATATGGATGCATAAAATGTACACACAGCAGTGCTTATCTAGTAACAAACTCAAAAGAAACCTGGTTAACTAAAACATCTCACATTATTTCGCACATTTATTAACTACCTTATAGAAAACTCAAAAAAACAGCACCTAATTCCTATCATACCATACAACCTTATGAAAAGCAGCACCACAATATATTATTTCTATACACACAAAACAATCACTTTCCAAATAAATGTTTCACACTTACGGAATTGATCAACCTGAGAGTGAACTGCAGTCGGCTGTGGGGAGTGACAGTAAAACTATCGGAGAATAACTCTGCATCTTTTTGCGTGGATGGTATGTCAATAATTGGTTGATTATTTTCATCTGAATTTTCAAAGCGGTTCGGTGAGGGAACACCTGTCATTCCGAAATCTAAGACTCCTCCTATGTAGCACAGAATTAAACAGCGATCCTATACTGACTGAAAGGTGAAATGAAAAAGCAAAAACGTGTATTTGATTATGTGAAGATGCAAGTGAAACTCGGAAGCAGGAATGCAGCCGAAAAAATTACTTGTTTCACACACAGTTAGGCTTTCCCACATAATAGAATCTGAGCTACACTTACCGTGCGAGAGCTGAAGTATATGGAATGGGATTCGAATTGAGTGAGTGAAAGTGAAATGCCTTGGGAAAAAAAGCCGACTCCTCTGAGAACGCGTGCATCCACTTCAGCCGAATAATTTTACACATTTTATCCAACGATAGGTGGTTCGTCTTCTGTAACAACCGACTATGTACAGCAATTCGAAAACCGATCGCTTTTAGTTTCAACGAAACATTTTATCTCTAGATGCTTCAAAACAACAGCTTGCTGCCCTCAAGTAAAAATATGGCAGACATATTTTGCCAAAGCTCCCCAATAACTATATTACTGTCCTCAGCGCTCTATAGAACGCTGTAAAAGTTCATGCCACACAGATTCAGCGGAACTACTTTACGGGACTGCCGTATGACGGCCCTGTTCAACTCGCCAGTTTCTCACTCGATGGTGACTGCACACTGTACGTAAATGTGCATCCGGACGAAGGGATCAGCTAAGCTGGCACAAATCTGGCTTCTGTAAATGAGTCCATGAGTCAAGATGTTGCACACCAACCGCCAAAACCCAAATAGAGCGAAACACAATATGACGCACAGAAAAATGTCCCAGCTTCAGCAAAAAGAGAAGAGCCCAATTCATTTCATGAAATTCCAATAAGCCGAACATGCATAACTGTTTTGTAGTAAAAAGCAGAAGAGTCGGTCGTACCTTCGAAAATCGACACACAGACAGTCTGACCAGGAGCAAAAAGGCATTTGAGGGATTTCGGCTAACTTTGCAACCAAAGACTCCAACGATCACAACATTGATGCATCCAAAGTTTTTTTAAATGGGATCGATCCCGAAATACACCCCGCCTTTTCTCTTGCTCCAAAGAGCCACTTTTTGTCCGAAACTTTATAAATACGAATAAGCTGGAGCATGACACAAATACAGCAATCACTATGGAAATATGACAGAAATGGAATGCATGAACCCTAGCAACTGCGAAAATGATAATTCTGTTAGGGGAAATTTGACCACTTACGAAGACATCATTTCCAATTATTTTTAAGTCAAGTATTAATTCCAAAACAGGTTACCATAATGCTGAATTAAATTTCACTAATTCTGAAATAATTCTAACATTCTATAGTCAGCAAATTCTGATTCTGTTCTGAAATGGATTATTTAGTGGCACAGACTAGAACTCAGTACTTGTATTCAGCAAGACTGGCACTAATTCAGCATCGTGTTCTTTTTCTAGGCATTTTCAGGAGTAGATGAGAACCTACTAGGTTTGCTTATCAGCGTTGTTCCAGCCCTCTCAGCTCATATTCACCACTGACTAGCATTACTTCACAACGAAAAGACTTAATTCAACACACAGTTCACTAGTGAACTGATCAACTCAAAACAGAGGTAAACATAAGATGCAACATAAAAAATATGTGTGATTAGTGTGGTACACTGGAATAGAGCTGACAAAAAGAGGAAATTATAGAGAACAGAGCACGAGCTTGGCGGGAATCCTGCATTTCGTTAAATCACAAAATGAAATTTAAAGAGCATGGAAAAAATTTACGTGAAGATTGTATACATTCTACCACACTAGTTATTAGTAATTCCTTTAAGTAAACGCACCACTTGTTTCAGCCAATCGGAGCGTATCTCTTCCTGCAAAGGGAGGATACAAAAATAAGTGTTTGGAATGTACACGTTTCAGTCTCAGTACGCTAACAGACAAAAGTAACTCACTGTTCTCTTTTTCTTCTCCTGAAGGAAAGAAAAGTGTTCACTACTCTATCTATAACAGTTTCAACTTTCGTTACGACTGTGAACTCCAAGGTCAAGCCAATTGAATTCCTACAAGCCGCATACACCTACTGTACACAAAACTGACGCGTATAAACAATCCTGCAGTCAGATTAAACATGTAATAAAAACTCATAGAACTGAAAAATTGTTCCCTAATACATGCATTTAAGATGTTTATCAATTAGAAAACACAGAGGTGTTTATCTAACAATATTGAATTTCACTGTCAAATGTATATATGAAAAAATTGAACCTCGCGAAGTTAACTAGCCCGTTGGTTTTCTAGCCGGTCACCGGCCCTGGAAAAGAGAGGTGGTTGAGAGTGAAACCAAACGGGAAACTTCAGTGTAAAAGAAAAATATTGAAAAATAGAAATTATGTAAAAAACAAACTTAGTCTTCACTGGAATCAGAGAGGTGATATGATGTGGGTTGGTAAATGACTTCAGAAAATCAATCAACACAAAATTGTGGAATGTTCGCACAATTTAGAAAGGTACAAAGGCTGTCTGGTTAGCCATAGATATGAGAAAATATGGTACAGAAGGGCTATGAATCTGCGAGAGCAGATGGAATAGATGTGGACTGTCAAAATTTTCAACTGAAGAGTCAACAATCTAATCCTGTCACCCGGACGACAACCACGAGCACATCAAGGCAATGATTGGATATCATAGTGTCACTAACAGTGACTGAAGCTCCTGTGTAGTGTGAACTAATGTCATTCAGGACAATTGCAGAAAGAATTGACTCAAAACGAATGGAAATAACAATTATTCAATGCCACCAACCTATGAAAACTCGAAAAAAGAGTAGAAATAAAGATTTCTGTGGACAACTGCAAACAGTGATGGATAGCATCCCAAATGGAGACATGAAAATCCCAACTGGTGATACACCTGATAAAGTGAGGACTGATAATACAGGGAGAGAACTCATCATGGGTCGAGAGACTCTCGCTTGGCGATATGAATGAGAACGCAGAACTCTTCTCAGACTTCTGTTCATCCAATTATTTGATGATTGGAGTTAGTGTGTACAAGAACGAGTATACACACAAGGCGACAAGGGTTTCAGCTGGTGGATACACGAGAGAGCAGATAGACTTCATCTCAATAGTGCTGAAGGAAGTGGAGACGCAGCCTACAAGACACATAACGGAGAAGGGGAGCAGACGTGGACTCAGAGCACTCTCTATCTAGTTCAAGGTAGCTTCAAGATCAAGTTGAGAGCTTCTTAAGCATCAACTAGAGATAAAGCACAGTACAGTTGAAGTTCCACACTGAGAAACTGAATGTCGAAACTACAAGGGATGTCTTGACTGCAGCTTTCAGAGGAGAGTCGGAGACATTACGTGGCTTCAGTGAAGAGACAGACCTGTGTGCAAAAATATTGGAACTCCTTGAAGTTGATATTCGAGGAAAGGTGTAGAACTGTTTTAGGAAGAAAGAAGAGGCATGGCAAGGAATGGCTGTCAACGAACACCTACCTGGAAGCTAATCAAGGAGGGGAGATTAGATGGGGATGGTGAAAGAGAAGATGACTCAGTGCAAAGATATGCAGCGGAAGGAGAAGCTGAGTTCACAGCAGTGCACACTTCACTGAATAAAGAAGTGAATAAGAGTGCTAGGAAAGACAAACGACAATTCCATGACACTCTAGCTGGCAACAGAAGCATCACAGGTAGGCGGCAGGCAAACAGACATCAGGACACTATATGAGATAAAAACCGCGGTTAGAAGAGACCCAGGAACATTATACCACATAACCAGGCCTTTATCGAGAAATTGGTCAACCCAGCTGACGACACTAATAAAAGGTGGTCAAGGGGACCTGATTACCAAGGAGGAGGAATAAATAAAAGAATGGGCTGGCCAATTCGACACCTGTAACAACCAATCAGCAAACGACCTTGAACGGACCAATCACATGAAAGAGGCCTTTATGATAAGCGGAAACGTATCTTTATAAAAAAAATGCATAAAAAATGATTAAACGGTTACAGTGGGTATCTTTCCCGAACATGGGAGAGAAACATTTCCCAAATCAGTATGGGACTGTCAGTAGGGAAGTCGCACCACATTCTATACATATATTCATCTAAATGACTATAAATGAGATCCTTTTGAGATCCATCTATAGCCCTTATTGTATTTACCAATCGACCCCAAAATCCTTCAATGGAATTTGTATGAGTCCCTGTAACTGGATCCAAGAAACCACTGGAGTGGTTCACTCTGTGATGAATATATCTTTAGAGGATGCTGGTATCGACGTTCGCGAGTTGTACGGATTATACTAACGCAAGATCTTATACCAACAACTTCTATAGTGTTCGCTCTTCGAGTACCAAAGATAAAGCAAAAGACCAGATTTTGTCGTCCAAATACGATATATAATTCGGGACCAAATCGCGGGTAGAAATGAATGCTTAGCTAGCTAGTAATCGTGCACGCACGTGACACGACGGAGTACCAAATGGCGGGGATACTTGACCGGAAGCCTTCAGCTAAACAAGTCGACTTAAACAGTGATGGTCAGCATTCAATGTTGAGTGATGATTGCTGTGGTTAATAATTTTGGGGAATTATTTGCCGCTACAGCTCACTCCCCCCTGGTGGGTTTGTGAGGACCCTAAGACATGACCAGACGGAAGTAAAAAAAATCTGGATGGTTCCCTGATGGGTGGAAAAGATCTTCCAAGCGGCTTGATGGAGAGCCTGCTGGTCTGTCTGCCTATGCTTATAGGGTGCCTGTACATAGCTTCCTCAATGTTGTTCGTTGGATCCCGTGCTTCGTTTGTTTCTTGTCCAGTGCCCGTTGCACCTGGAAAAGAAAACGAGAATGCTAAGAACCTTGTCGAAGGAAAATGTACCAAATAAGCGTTTTTTTACCAAAAAAAATGACGTGCATCTACTATACAGTAAGATAATGTAAATTTCAAAATATCGGAAAAAAATATACATCTAATTTAATTTTTTTACAAGTGCACGTTTAATGTACGGTTATAGGAAAAATATCGTTTACTTGTGTTAAATGATGCAACGTAAAAAAATTGATGTGTCACTCAGTTATGTAAAATAGGTGTGAAGGTATTCTGGGAATCTAACGTGACGTCCAGAACGTGTTTTCTTAGAGTGATCGACAGAAGTTTCGGTGGCTTTCGCCGTGCTAGGGAGTTCTTCGAAGACTAAAGGAGATTCAATTACTTGTGGATTATTGGGTACGCTCAGCTCTAGGCTTATAGGCTTACCTTCCAAGTAAGCCGGTTTCAGACGGTCGATACTGACGGTGTCTTCGTGGCCTTTCTTGTCTAAGACGAAGAACTTATCCGTACGTTTAATTACTTTATATGGTCCGTCATATGGGGGTTCTAGAGGACGACGTACAGAGTCGCGACGAACAAATACGTGTGAGGAAGTTTTTAAGCAGGGGTGGACGAAAACATCAATTGACTGTGGTCGGAGGGGAGCAGGTTTAACTGAACGCATAGCGTTTGTAAGCCTGCTGACGTATGAGGAATGATCTACTGCTGGTGGGAAGCTCGAGGGAGAAACAAACTCACCTGGCAGTCGTAGTGTCGTGCCATACACTAGCTCAGCGGTAGTACAACCAGCATCGGTTTTTAAAGCGTTTCGTATCCCTAGGAGAACTAACGGAAGGGATTCAGTCCAATGGGTGTTAATTGCAGCTGATAAACCAGCTTTCAACTGTCTGTGTAGACGTTCTACCATACCATTAGCTTGAGGATGGTAGGCAGTTGTTCGAAAACGCATGCAACCAAGGATTTTAGTCAGGGCGAAGAATAAACCGCTTTCGAATTGCGCCCACGATCAGTTGTTATGGAAGATGGGCATCCAAAGTTTGCGATCCATCTTTCTACGAGGACGCGTGAGACGGTTTCCGCAGATATATGTTTGATGGGTACTGCTTCAGGCCATCGTGTGAAGCGATTGATGCAGGTTAACATATAGGTATATCCATGAGATTCTGGGAGGGGGCCAACTAAATCTATATGGACGTGTTCGAAACGGGCATCGGGGATAAGAAAGGTGCCAAGGGGGCTTTTGGTGTGTCGTATTACCTTGCACTTTTGGCAATCTAAGCACGTCTGTGCCCATTCCCTTACTTCCTTATTGATACCAGGCCAACAAAACCGAGTAGTTACGAGTTTGACGGTAGTTCGTATACCTGGGTGTGATAAGCCATGCAACGTATTGAAGACGTTACGACGATAACTTTTAGGTACGATAGGGCGAGGAGTACTAGTGGAAATGTCGCAGAGAATAGTATCCTTTCCTATACCTAAGGGTTTCTCGGCTAATTGTAGAGTTTTTTTCGACAACTCATGCTGAAGCTCGGAATCTTCTTTTTGAAGACAAGCCAGTTTTACAAGGTCTATGCTGTCGATTTGGGTGAAGGAACAAATACGTGACAAGGCATCTGCCACAGTATTGTTCACTCCGGATACATGGCGAATATCTAATGTAAACTGTGAAACGTAATCTAGTTGTCGTGATTCCCTGGGTGAATACTTATCTGAGGTTGAGTTCAGAGAGTACGTCAGAGGTTTGTGGTCAGTGAAAATTATGAATCCACGACCCTCAACTGAATGTCGAAAATGGCGTATAGCACAGTACATAGCTAGAAGTTCTCTTCCGAATGTGCTGTACTTCGTTTCAGCTAATTGAAGGCGCCTCGAGAAAAAGGCGAGTGGTTGCCACTCGTTGTTAACTAGTTGTTGCAGAACTGCGCCGATTGCAGTGTCTGATGCATCAACTGAGATACTTAACGGTGCCGTTGGATCCTGATACATAAGGAGGGTGGCATCCGCAATAGCCTTCTTTACCTGAGTAAAAGCATGTCACGAAAACGCGCCGAGTTCGATAGACTTGTTGTTCCCTCAAAGGAGATCTGTTAATGGTTGAATCAGAGAAGCACAATTAGGAATAAAACGTCGGTAATAACTTACCAAGCCGTTAAAAGTGCGAAGACATTTCACTGTCTTTGGCTCCGGAAAGTTCAGTATCGCTTCGACTTTAGTAGCCAGTAGGCGAATGCCCTGACAGT